CATTTAGGTCATATTTTTCCATCCCTGCATCGCTGACTACCTCTGCCATGATTTCTACTGTGCTGCTTTTTCAACCTTTAATCAGAGTTTGAGAATGATTGATAACGCAAGTGAAGGAATGTACTATTCTTATGCATTATCCCTGCACTGCCCAGTTCATTTTTCAGGTATTTTTGAACGCGGCCATTCATGTGATCACGTTTCGAAATCTCGGTGAACAGGGACTTTCTTATCATTCCGGTCCGTTATCATGCTGTTCAATGCGTAACCTTTGATTTACTGATCAGAGCGTCCAATCAAGCCGCTTCCTACATGGTGTCGTTATTCGGGCTTCTCTTTGTCATATTTCTAGTACCGACATGGAGCAACGCATACAAAATGGTGCTTTTCGTGCCCGATATGGCTAACAGTCAGGTAAATTACGCCGAGCGTCTTTCATAAATAATGATATGTTGGTTACATACTTACATAGGTGCTTTTTAATGCTCGAGTAGCAGAGACGTTAGCAAAGGCAGGTAACGATGTCACGATGGTGATGATTTTGCCGTATAATGACAGAGACTCGAGTGACGTGAAGATCATGAAAGAAGTGAAAAGTGTGTTTTTTGCTTATTCATTTGTTTATTTACTTATTTACATATTTGTTTTGGACGTCCCTACTCAGTACATAAATATTCTTCGTGAGCTCTACAGCAACATTACGACCAACATCTCACCATTCTACAAGGAGGTCATCATCGACGTCAAGAGAGGGGTCCGACAGGGCGACACCATCTCGCCCAAACTCTTCAGCGCCGCTCTCGAGAACGTCATGCGTCAACTGGAATGGGAAGACATGGGAGTGAAGGTCGACGGCCGGCAACTACACCACCTTCGTTTTGCTGACGACATCGTTCTTATAACGCCGAACATCGAGCAAGCGGAGCGAATGCTGGCTGATTTCGACTGCGCCTGTGGTAAGGTCGGTCTGCAGCTGAACCTAACGAAGACGATGTTTATGAGAAACGGATTGGTTCCTGATGCCCCATTCACGCTCAACGGAACGAACATCACCGAATGCTCCAGCTACGTGTACCTAGGTCGGGAAATCAATATGATGAACGATCTAGCTCCAGAGCTGAGCAGGAGGAAACGAGCGGCATGGGGAGCATTTAAAGGCAAGATTCGGGATAAAATAGGTGTCTAAAAGCGTTCAGTCATGATACTAGAGGTGGGAGGTGTCTATAAAAGAGAAGGAAAGCAAACGAAATCACAGATTACGCCCCGTACAGAAACCTCCCCTATTTCAGCAACATTCCACCTTGGGATAGAGAAAAGGCGCGTTGGACGAGTTTCGCGAGCCTGACTCTAGTTGCTCCAGTGCCATTGACACAGGATCGCGGTGGGACCGCTGCCTCAAATGCGGGGGGGGCGCGCGCCCCCGCGCTTTCATCAAGCAGCACGCCGTGGGCAACGGACAGCGGAGGGTGGGGCTTGCGGACGAAGGTGTGAGTTGCAGGTCGGACGAGCTGCTTGTGCCTTTGTCGCGCACTTTCAAGCGGCAAAAGGGGTGCGACAACAACACTTGTCCGCCTGCCTACTACCCCGGGATGGAAGAGGCGAAGCGCGCCTAATCGTGGAGCGTGCCTTAAGAACATCGAGGGAGTAGTGAAGAAGACGAAGAACATCCGGCTCCGTGCCCACCTCTTCGATTCCGCTGTCCTTCCTGCCCTAACCTACGCCTCAGAGACTTGGACTCTGCGCAGGCAGGACGAGCATGCGGTCAGCGTTATCCAACGCGCTGTCGAGAGGACGATGCTAGGAGTAACCCTATACACGCAAGTGCAGAGGGGAATCCGGAGTTCCGAACTACGCCAACGATCGAAGATCAGGGACGCTGCCGTTTTCGCCAAGGAATCGAAGATAAGGTGGGCCGGACACATGCGATTTTGCGATGACCGTTGGACCAGAGCGGTTACCGACTGGATCCCTCGGGACGTCAAACGAACACCTGGACGACCGCCGGCCCGATGGTCAGACTTCTTCACGAAAGCTCTGAACGAAAGGAATGAAGGACTTCGTGTCCCTCGAGCGAGGAGGATCCACTGGACCACTCTAGCACGCGACAGGGACGAATGGAGACGTTGCTGGCGCCCGCTCGAGCAAATCGACGATCAACGGGACGACAGGTGATACAGGTGATACAGGTGAACACTAAAAAATACTGATAATGCATAGAGTCCGAAACAGTTTATGGGCCTCACAGGCAGAGAGTGACGGTCAAGGAATTCCTCAACCATGTCTCTGCACTGTGCGAGAGTAGTGCCGAGAGTGAACGTACGCGCGGAGGGCACAGACGGCTCGCGCATGGCGAGTGTGAATGTCCGCGTGGAGGAACGTAATGATCAGGAAGGCCTCGAATCCTCGAAACTCGACGTGGCCGATGAAGTTTCCTCGACTGATATCAGCCCTGCGCAAGTACTACAAGCATAAGGGGAGGAGAGGGAGATTGTGGTGGGCGCATTTATATCGCCCTGCAGCGATTTCAATTTGTGCAGTGCAGAAGCTCTAGAGGTTGTGCAAATGTGGAAGTGGAATATTCTCCTGGTTCCAAGAAAATTCCTCCCTTGCAAAAATTGAGATTTCTCAGGCGGCAACAGTCGTCGCACTGCTGCCTCTCCTTTACTGAAAACGACCTGCTTGTTTCTTGTGTTCTTTGCACTTGGTTAACTGTTGATGCGAGAATATTTTTTTTGTTTTAGTTCATCGCATCAACGCTTCATTTGGTCTCACACGAGAATTCCTTGAAGAGCAGCAGCAAAAAGTCATATTCAAGGTGAATGATCAGCTGATTTTAGTGAAACAGACAGATCCATAATAATATTTCTAAGAGTTCGAGGTCTTCATTTTTGCCATGTAATATGAGTTCACATCTATTTGTGAATGGTAAGAAGACGGTGCTGGTAAGGGGAACTATAACGATACAACTCAGCAACGTGGACCACACTCTGCAGGTCAAGCGTGCGTTGAGTATTCTGCTCACCGCGCTTGAGGCTCTCCTAGCCCATCAGAGCCGTTCACGGTCGCGCGACATCACCACTCGCCATGTGCCGGCGCGTCTGTGCTCTCCGCGCGTACGTCCCTCGGCAGCTACATACCCTCGCGCGTAGTGAGTCATCGTCGCAGGAAAATCCTCCACACCACACTTGAACGCCTGCCCTCTGCTGAGAGACGCATTCCAGCGCTCGAACTGGGACATTCTTCTCCGAAAGAGCTTCGTTGAAAGAAGGGTAGACCGTGAGTCCGCCCCTTTCACACGGGATCGTGTTTGGGGAAGTTGAAAGGGTGGTCGTTGCGAGAAAGTGATTCGCTTGAGGGTCTACACATGGGAAAACTGTTCAAAAGAGCATCAACAGATAGACAAAATAAGAGAATTGGGCTCGTCTTTTCGACATATATTTATACCCTTCCCTTTCTGGCCTTTTTCTGGCCACAGAAACCTACCTCGATGTTAAATCATGCACAAGTAGAGAAATGTTGGGGGTGGGGGGGGGACACCTTCGCAACCTCGGGAACTAGAAGGGGAAGGTAGGGGCAGCAAGAGGGCGCCTGTAATCTTGCCATCTTAGGTTAAGTACCTCAATTGTCTAGCTCACATTGAAGGCCATGTTTACGAGAAGAAGGCAGCTCATAAGAATTAAGCAACATGAGAAAGGGCACCGAATCAGAGAAATGGGATCACTTGATTAAGCGTTGATTTCCGCCGTCCTCATCGGCCGCCGCTCTTCAACGCTAACGCGCTTTCTGCTAGACGGCTAGGGGTCTGCAGCGAATGGTTGGCCATTCGGAGGGTCTACAGCGGCCTGGGACGACCATGCTGGATTGCCGGTTCTTTGCCGTTGCCATACTTCGTTGCAAATTGTGTGTCAGTGTGCACCCTTAGGGGACTTGCCTGTCCTTCCATTCGAGTTTCCCTTCTCTACCCACGACCATACCGTGGGAAGAGACGACCACTCGTTTGAGTTGAGAATCAGACTTCTGATGAAAATAAAATTAGAACAATCAACGTTAAAAAATTAATCCTTTGTTTGAGGATCTGACGATATGGGATCCAAGGCTCCGCGAATATGGATAGGATGACAACGTTCCTAACGGAGGTGTGTGCCGAAGTAAGTTCAAAAATATTATAAGAATTTGCATCAGCCTGAAATTAGCGTGTCTCACATAATGTGCCTTCTGTTTAGAAGTAGTTGAGAACAAGGAGTTCCTCGAGTGGTTGACTGCTCAGAAGTTTGATCTTGCCTTTTCTCACATTTACGACGTCTGTCACATTGGTCTTATACACTACGCTAAAATTCCTTCATGGATTTGGCTGAACAGGTACGCTTCGGCACCCATGAACTCCGATACGATTAACGCTCAGTTTGAGTTGGGGGGCCCTTATTTATCCGTATACCACCAAAGCACACTTGGGATTTAACCCTATGGATAAGACAATAGGTCGCTCCTTCAAGAAGCGAAGAAGCGCGCCGGATGCAGCCACTACACCGCAAGTGAGTTATTACCTGCCAATGAAATGATTAGCCTGTTGCAGTTGTATTCTATCAGTTGTCACTAATTACAACTATCATTTACCAAAAATCAGCTATCACTATGAACCACTACTAACCAGATTTACTTGGAGGCCGTCGTCACTTGTGGTGTATGGTCTGCACCCGACACTTTCTCGTTTTTGAAGGGGGGTACAATCACTTTTCACACTACACTTTTTGATCAAGACCGCCTACACACGCAACATACCTTGTCACATCCAGGGAAGTTTGTACAATTTAATAATGTAGTCGTCCCCCGGGGCCTTCTATACGGTACTCGCCGTAAAAACTGCAAAATTCACGCGAAAAACGCGAATTTCGCGTTTTTTTTTCGTTTTTCTGTTATAACTCGGTTCAAAATTGAGCTTTTCAAAATCCGAAAACGATGTTGAGTTCAGCTCGTTGAGTTCTATGAAGAGGCTGTCCCAAGTTCTCTAGAGGCACCATCTTGGATTGCGCCATGCACTCAACTTTTCATCTCAAAAAGTAGTTGCTCGCATGTGATGTGTATATAATCCCGCTTATGCGGGCTGACTGCTACACCTGAATGTGGGTCTCCAAATTTGCCCCAGAATGCGACACGTACTCAATCTAATCCACTACATTGTGAGATCAAATGAATAGGTGAGTGCTTCTTCTGTGGCGTGGCCCCAAACATCACCCCTCGTCATGCCCTTGTGAATGATCAGATTTTTTGCTTTTCCAGATGGAACTTAGAAACTGAGATGTGCACCAGTTCGATTCCCCATAAAAAATACTGTCGAACGGTATACAACTGTCACAACTAAGCATTTTTTTCTGCGCCTTAGGAGTACTTCCAAACTACACCGGTCTTAATCAGTAGTGATGTTCAAATGGATCGATTACGTGTCATTGAAATTCTTATCTCTTCTATCTCTCTTTGCGTTGTGCTCTCCAATTCTAAGGATATCCCTTATCCTTAGTATTAGAGAGCGCAATGGAGTGCTCCCCCTCGAACTGGAATTTCACCCTCCGATTTGATCAGAAAAATTACTTTGCAGTGGCAATCTTATGGACTTCGTGGCTCATCACATGGGAGTGCCGAGAATTCCAAGCTATAATCCTCGTAAGTCCCTTCTCAGAAATTACTTTCATTATTATATTTCTTTATTTATTCATACTATGTATATTTACTTATGAGATTGAAAAGAAGGTTATCCACACAGCGTGAAACAATTCAGATGGAATCCCATTATAGTTCTATAGAAAATTTTCAACAAAAACCCTTTTAGGAACATGATTATCGTAAATTGAAAAGTTGAAAAACTGGCGATATAAATAAGGTGCACGCAAAATTTCACCGTTGCCCGGGCTCGTCGCAGTTGGGCAGACGTCGGCATATACCGTGGCATTAAAAACACGTGCTGGAGCGCCCAGTTGAGTTCAGGGGAGAGACTTTTTCATTAAAGAGCGGTTTTGAACCCACCGCGTATGAAAAGTGAATCAAGGAACAGCTCCTTAACGACTACGCGAGATTTTTTTTTCCCAACAGTGATGATGAATTTAAAAAACCATAATTTTCCTTTAAACAGTATTGGATGATTTGAAGTTCCAAAGCTTATCTGATACTGTTAGGTCGGTCCATAATTTTTGAGAACCTTTGGTGTTTTTCGATTCAATTACTTATCTTATTTCTCTGATGTACTTATATTCAGCATAGTATACATCACATTATTACCAACATATAACCAATGCGAGGGTGGGTATTCAGTGTCCTCTCTTGTAGAATTTCATAGAGTTCTGATCGAAGAAATATTGGATGTCGATTTTGACTTTATGGTGATTCAAGTGAGATTTCTTCTCCAGAAGGTGATTGAGAGAGGAGAGCGGATAGTCGTTCGTTGACGCAGGATTAGTGCTATAAGGCGGAGCTAAAAGAACTGACCGCCCGAGAGTCTCTAATTTTTTAGGAATTTTCTTAGCAAGGCGGGCTCGAACGACCTCAGAGAAAAATAGATTTTGTCTTCCTTTGCTTTCAAGTTGAAGGCGTTGCCATCAAGCTGTCAACGATTCTTCCCATCACTGACACTGGTATTAGTTGATGCCGGTCTTCAGCGCAAAGGCCCTCCCGTATTGCGCCAACGACTCAGGAAGTTCGAATTCAGAGGGAGTTGGGTTTGTACTGTCAGAACTCCCGAATCGTTTGAGCAAATCTACTGCGGCTCGTGGATTTGTTAGCACACTGCACCCAGTCCACATCACCAATGAGTATTATAGATGGTCATCCGAAGGAACTATGGAAACCAACAGGAACTTGATGATGTCAGATTGGGTTGAGAACTGATTCGGGACTACAATTTTCCTTCGATCAGAACTCTATGAAAGTCCACAAGAGAGGCACTGAATACCCACCCTCGCATTGGCGATATGTTGTTAATAATAATGATGTATACTATGCTGGATAAGTAGATCAGAGAAATAAGATAAGTAATAAATCGAAAAACACCAAAGGTTCTCAAAAATTGTGGACCGACCTAATAAAATAATAATAATGATACAATTATACAGGAACCGGGTTCGAGTCCGTCTGGGGCGAAAGTTTTGTTCACAACCCAATATTCTTGTGAAGTATTGATAATTTATACATTTCCGATTGTATCTAATTCATGGTGCATCCGTCAAAAGGAGCAGGAAACCATCATAAGGTACCGGAATTTATATTTCTACGCTTAGAATTTTGAGTACTTTTATTGAAAGTCTACGCAAAATCACGCAAAAACCACGCTTATTTTTCACTTCGATGGTTTGATTGGAATTTTCTTTTCATTCGATAATTTGATTGTATTTTTCTTCAAGTTCGAATCTTTTTCTTTATTCCTTTCCCACATCTCGGTAAACAATCAATCAACCAAAAAATCAATCACGATAAACAACCATGTCGGGTCCATCGGGTCCATTAGCGCTGAAAACAAGGAAGTCCCTCCTCACGCGATACTGCAACAACCTGGTAGGACTCATTAACAAATATGAAAATGAACGCGACAGTCGCCCTTTACGCGATGCCCCGCCACATGGAAAGGAACTCACGGAATATGTGGTAGAACTGAAGGGGACGGTTCGACTGGTACTAGATCAAATTGATTTATTGGTTGAGGCAGTGGATAGCCTAGGTGAAACCCTTACTACGGATCAGCAAGCGCAGGCAGAGGACTATATAGAGAAGGCTCCACAACGCAGTCGACAACGCTGAGAAGCTCGCATTGCAACTCGAGGCCAAACGCATGGGAGCGCTAGATACTTCAGGCGCATACGAGCCAAGCGGGCCTTCCAACACAGGCAAGGGGTCCTCACCAACTAGACGCACTCGCACCCAAACTACCACCTGTCCCAATTCCGGTTTTGAGGGAAGGATATGGGAATTCTCCAATTTCTGGACACTATTTGAGGCCAATGTGGACGGCCAGCATTCACTCAGCGACCTACAAAAATTCAATTACTTGATATCGGCTTTACGTGGTGAAGCACGCCAACTGATCAAGCGATACCCAATCACGGAAGAAAATTATACACTCGCGGTTGACCTTCTCAAGAAGAAGTACGGTAATCCTTCGCAACTTATAGCCGCTCTTCAACGTCGTCTTGAGGAGACGACAGCGGAAAGTGCAACAATACAAGCTCAGAGAAAGCTATTGGAAACGATCATCCCGATCGTTACACAGCTTCAAAAACTAGGGGTTGTATTAGATGGATCATACAACGCCCAGAAGGTGCTCTCCAAGTTCGCAGTTCGCATACAGCGGAAAGTACTGGAACAGTTGGTGACACCAAATATGGAAGAAAGCCAATGGAAAATGGCAATCTTAGTAGAAGCAGTAGACACTCAGATCAGCACAGAAGAGCGCATAGATGAAATGGTTCAATAAACAAGGGATCGCTTATGACGACAGAGAATCAGGGCGGAGGAAAACATTTATAGCTTCCACAACACAGAAGACGTGCATGTTCTGCAAATCCTCGGAACACAGAGCCATTGAATGTCCCACTTATTGCACTGTTGCCCAACGACGCGATTTCCTTTTGGAGAGGAATATGTGTCTCAACTGCGGACGAGAGGGACATTGGGTGAAGGACTGCAAAAGGGAAGGATGCAGGTCCTGCGGAGGAAAAAAGCACAATCAGGTTCTTGTGCCCACAAAGAGTGGGGAAACAGACAAAACAGCAGGAAGTTCCACCGTCTGGCAAAAAACCAACACCAAATCAGAAACCAAGCATGCAGCAGAAAGCAGGAAGCACTATGACGCGTTCGCAACACTAGGGATACAAGAGCGCACCCCGTATCCGCGCACACAAGTGAGAACGCTACGCAAGGTTCCCATTCCACGGATAGTAACGGAGGATACGGACACAATGAGCGCATATAGCACCCACACGGTAACACACAATGACAACGAAAGAGTGCTACTCCTAACAGGGGTAGGAAAAGTGTGGAATGCTATCAAGAGGGAGTGGCAACCAGTCGAGATCCTATTCGATACTGGAGCAGATCAATCCTTTATCAAGCCAGGCCCTTACGCAGGAATTAGGCCTCACATACAACGAGAACGAAAGGACTTCAACATTTACACCTTTGGTTCTACAGTACCTACAGAGAAAAGATGTGGAGTCGTTCGAGCGGATCTTGAGGACAACCAAGGAGAAAAACACAAACTGTACTTACACACAATACCGATACTGACTGAAACAGGAACGGAGACGCACCTTGCCGCAGAGGATATGAGTTTTATTACAGGCAATAAACTAGAGCTTTCAAGGCAAGGTACTCGCAGGAAGTCCACCCCACAAATTCTTCTAGGCTGTGACCAGCTATGGGGCTTACTGAGTGATCCTTCCCCTCAATATACGCTACCGTCTGGGCTACAGCTCATTCCCTCAAAACTGGGATATCTACTCACTGGAAAGCAACGGTTGCCCTGCCACATTCTCGAACAGAAAATTGGGATTACGCCCAGTATGGTATCAATGATCCAATCCGTTACTGGCGAAGAAGACGATCTCCTCAGATGGGATAGATACTGGGCCATGGACACGGCAGGAATATGCGAATACACTGGCACAATTGATGCTGAAAGGTCAGCAGTAAATGAACAAGTGCTGTCGTTTTTCAACAAGACCATTGAAAGGAGAAGCGATGGCTACTACGTGCGCCTCCCATACAAACAAAACCACCCTCCACTTCCCTCAAACAAAACGATAGCGCTGAAACGGCTTAGGCAGTGTTCTAAACATGCTGAGATCCAACAAAAAACTCCTTGAGGATTACCACCAACACTTTCAAAACCCAGCTGACTGAGGGCATTATTGAAGAAGTACCAGAATTCCAAATGAAAGACGGAGAGGTAGTCCACTTACATCCCTCACCAGCCGGTCATTACGCCTCAGAAGCAAACCACCAAACTACGCATAGTTTTTGACGCTTCCTCGCATTTTAAAAATTGCCCATCTCTGAATGACGTTCTACATCAGGGCCCCCTTATATTACCTGAACTCTACGCAATGTTGTTACGCTTTCGAGTG